TATTTATAAAAATATTATGAATTATAATGGATGTACCTACCTATCCAAGTATATTGATATTTATGAATTAAAATAATATTTTGAAGATCATAATCGAATGAAATTTAAGTATAAATATTCAAGTTTTCATAATTAACTTCGATATATAAAATKATRTGTGTATCAGAATCTATTATTAATTTTAGTTTAAGTGAACAATAAAAACATTGAGTTTTAAAAAATGAAATACAAAATAWAAGATAAATATTTTAACATATTATATCATTTTTATTAAAATAGCAATGCAAAATGGGTTTGAAATCTGTAGTAGATTATGCAACATCAATTTGTTCTAAATATGGTCAAAAAGTGCAGAGACTTTCTGGTTTAGGAATGCAACTATCATCAGTGCCAGGTAACAAAGAATTACTTAAAAGCTAATTTTTCAATAAATAATYAAATTTCTTTACACCTGAATAGAGGATATGGATAGACCATGTAGACTTGCATGTCAAGATCAAACAGTTCAGCACAGATTTTATATTGTTAACGGTGAAATCGGATGGTTTCCATTTGGTACTGATTGTGCTCGAGGAGATCCGGATCGACGGGCATTTTGTTTAAGTGGGAAATGTTTAGTGAGTACTCATAAAGACCATAAAATGAATATACAGTGAAATAGAAAAATTCAGATTTAATCGTATACTACGACTTCTACTTTATAAGATTATTTATATCTTGAAGGTAATTACTTTATTACTTTATAATTCTACCAGGATTGTACTAGCTAGCACGGAGGGCTAGTATTCCAGGATTATATAAAATCATAATATTTCGATTTGAATAATCAGCATATTCTATCAGATAAAAATTATTTATCATAACTATTTACAGTTTATCATAATATTTTAATAATTAAGGAAGTTGTAGCACTTTAAAATAAGTATTAAAAAAAATATACTTAAAATACAGCAGAAAAAAACAATAACCTCTAAAAATATAAAAATACATTTGTGATATGGTGTGGAGCAGTTAACATAAAACTATTGAATACTTTTAGAACATACTTCAAATGTATGCCTATACTATACGGTCTATATGTCATAATTTCTTATCCATGTTACCGTATCGTATTGATAAATTAAATATTACTAGATAAAATTAATTAGATCCCAGACATTATATGATATAAAAATAAATAGTGTCCTTCAAATTATTTAAAATACCTGGTAGATACTAGATATTACAAAATTTTAAAACAGAAATATTGATAACAAAATAACTCCGAAAACCAATTTCATTAAAAGAAAAAAAAATACAAATCAAGCAAAATTGAAGTATGTTTATTCATTCTACATATAGTATTAAAAATAATTAAAATTGGTCTAGATACATATTTATATAGAGATTTTATGTCTATAACATCCAAAATTCTAGTCATGTTTAAGAAAACGTAGTTTATGTTTATATTGTGTTATTCAGAAATATATGATATAATAATGAATAATGAATTCAACAAACAAAAAATATTTTGAGGAGTTATACAAATATCATACATTTCATATTTTTAATATAAAATAAGTAAATTATTTTAATTTCAACAGTAAGTTTTCATAATTAAATAAATTTCTTTTTAATAATTAGTTGTGTGWTAACGTCAGATATCATAATAATTTTAAAATTTTGTAAAAAGATTTAACATGCTATAATTGTAAAAGTATTTTATTTTTTTTCAAAATTAATTTACTATCTTGGCATCATAATTATCGTAGACTAAGTTATAATCAGTTATAGTTTATTTGATATCAAATTATGAAAACCGATTTTATAAATTGCAATTTATCGTAGTACTTAACGGTGTTGTACTGATTTTTGTGCRTGTTTAAATTTTTTAATAGGATTTTGGAGTGGATAACATGCCACTATCGGTGGAAGAAGTAACATCACATAATAATTTCAGTTCAAATAATCGTATAAAAAGAAGTCCGTCAGTGCAGGATAGCGATTATACAGTGGAACGGATCATACAACATTTCTTTAATATAAACAAAGGTATGCTTTGCTTTTTACCTACCGTAGACACGCGTTTTTTATTTATACGTTAATCAAACCCTGTTATCTTTATACATATTTTAGTTTAGAATGAATCGTTCAATGTACATAATGTAATATAGTTTTATTATTTATTGCAGATAAGAAAAAATCAACTATAGATCGTGACATAATATCGCTAGACCTTGAAAATCCTATAGAAATCCATATTACGTGATTATAAAATGATGTAATGACTATACATTTAGTTATTCTGTCGAAAATATAAAAATGTGCGATCAATCAATTTATGTGTTAACCGTTATTGTTTTTTTTAACCCTTAACGGCGTTTTATATAGGCAATTTTAGTACATGAATGCGTACGTGCAAGATAATGATAATACGTACGTATGCCCATAATTTAATGTATTATAATTACAATTAGTATTAAATTATAATATATTTATAACTAAATGGAATAGAATTATTAAAAAAAAAAAGTATAGGTATTATTGTTTTATCAATAATATGTACATATTATATTCCTACATTTTATTTTATTCAAGCTATAATGATAAAATAATATTTTTTTAAAGTTGTACATAATCACATGTGCTCATGTATTGTAGATCAAAATATTTTATTCAAATAAATCATATATTTATACATTTAAATAATTTAAAAATCACTCAATAACAATAAATACATTGAACAGTATTGRATAAAATTTAGAAATAGGTAATAATAAATAATAATTAAACAACATGAGATWAAAAAAACAGTTATTAAATTGTATATAATAATTTTGGTAATGTAAGACCAAATCAATAGACAACAAGTAATTTTAAAAACAGTTCAAACTTTGTACAATACAGAATAATTTAAAAAATATAGATAAGAATGAAGTAAGGAAAACTTATTCAAATAATGTTTAAAATATAAGCCCATTTTTTAAGTAAAATAACAAATTTAAATATAACACAGTTATTTTAAAAAAAAAGAATGAATTAAGTTAAAATTGATGAAATAAGACTAAAAAGTTTTCATATTATCAATATAGGCAATAATAATAATGATAATAAAATAGCAATAATGTGTATCATATATTTAATTACTAAGAACAACCAAAATTAATACCTTGCAAAATTGTAAAAAATAATCACAGCTTCTGTTTTCTTCTTGAATCCTTGTTAGATTTATCACCACCGTCCACATTATCGGTAGTTGTCAGTTCTTTGTAACATATCTAAACAGAATATTGTGTTCATTATATTGATTGATATTTCTCAAATAATATATAATATTTTGAAATTATTGCA